CCGACGCCCATCAACCAACCCAACCAAAATATGCCACATCGATCAGAGTTATCCCAAGACAGGAGGCAAAACCACCAGGAAAGACATCAGAGTTATCCCAAGACAGGAGGCAAAACCACCAGGCAAGACATCAGTATTATCCCCTGGTGGTTTTGCCTCCTGTCTTGGGATAACTCTGATGTCTTTCCTGGTGGTTTTGCCTCCTGTCTTGGGATAACTCTGATCGATGTGGCATATTTTGGTTGGGTTGGTTGATGGGCGTCGGGAGATATGAGGGAGTTGCGCCATCTATGTGGGCATTTGCAGCCTGATTTTGGCGAATGAGTGGGAGTTGCGCCATCTATGTCCCTAAAAATGACCTATTTTTTGCAATCTTCTACGCTCTGGCAATTTGCCACTTTGCTTGTCCCCGGAAACCGGGCCCCACCAAGTCCCCCGAAAAAGAACCTTTTCCTGAGTTTCCCAAAGAAAACTTGACACTTGGTGGGGTCCGTTTTCCGGGGCGAACCCAAGTGGAAAATTGGCACTGCGCTGGTTTCCCCCCATTTTTTTTCTCAACATCAAGCTGCCTTTTTGGGACATAGATGGCGCAACTCCCACTCATTCGCCAAAATCAGGCTGGGAATGCCCACATAGATGGCGCAACTCCCTCATATCTCCCGACATCCATCAACCAACCTAACCAAAATATGCCACATCGATCAGAGTTATGCCAAGACAGGAGGCAAAACCACCAGGAAAGACATCAGAGTTGTCCCAGGACAGGAGGCAAAACCACCAGGAAAGACATCAGAGTTGTCCCAGGACAGGAGGCAAAACCACCAGGAAAGACATCAGAGTTGTCCTTTTTGGGACATAGATGGCGCAACTTCCGTCAATGGTCATTTTGCCAGCAAAGGTCGAGACGCTTTAAAACCAAATTTTAACAAGTGACCTGAGGAACCGTTTCTTGACGGCAAAACCGGTTCCTCAGGTCACTTGTTAAAATTGGGTTTTAAAGCGTCTCGACCTTTGCTGGCTCAAAACAACTTCCGTCATTTCGCCAAAATCAGGCTGGGAATGCCCACATAGATGGCGCAACTCCGGGAGTTGCGCCATCTATGTCCCAAAAAAGCAACTTGATGTTGAGAAAAAATTATGGGGAGAAACCAGCGCAGAAGATTGCAAAAAATGTCATTTTTAGGGACATAGATGGCTCAACTGACCTGTTTTAAAGGGAGTTGAGCCATCTATCCCCCATTTTTTTTTTTGACATAGATGGCGCAACTCAAGATTCTGAGCCATCTACTTTTAGGGGAGAGTATATAAATCAATCTAAATCATATTTCATGGCCTTAAAAATCTGACTAATCCCAATCCAAAATGGGAAACTATCCTTGTGGGCATCAGTCAAAAGTTCAGTATCAGTACCAAGGAGCATTGGTTCGGTTGTCATGTTATCTTTAAACCGTTTATGTACTGTAGTAGTAAACACCCCGTTCCCCAATGCTGGCCCCCACCCAAAATCCCGGAAAATATCCTGCACAGTTCTGTATTGCCATTTCTGGTGGTCACATCATTCAAATCACCACTGTTTGTTGGGTGGTTCATAAACATTGGGGTCTTCAGTTGACACCTGTAGCCCCAGTGGTTAAGACTTGGGAAATCATGTCCATCGCTTACCTACCCGACCCCGTAGAACTTAACAAGGACCAAAAAACACCATCTCCAACAGAAAAATGTCCAACATTGCAGACCTCTGACTATGATGGAAACTCCCAAAAAACGACAAAGGTATGTTTTGCATTGGTTTGCCTCAACTGTCAATCTGGAGATGCTTGGTTTGCATAGTTCCCCACGACCCCCAGCTGTCAACACAGCATGGTTTTGTCAGTTGCATCGGCTCCCTGATTCTTTACCCCAAAGATTGGATGGCGAAGACCAAACTCGCGGGTGGCCTTGGGTAGCGTAATTACTTGGGTGTTCATCAACATGGGTTCAATTACATGGGTAAAATGAAATTACATGGGTAAATTGTCATAAACATTACTTTACCGACTTTACCCATGAAATTCTGATGGTTCCAGAGAATTTCCATGGCTTTCAATCCCTTAGAAACAGCCAAGGTGAAATCCTCCGAGCCCAGCAGCTGGCTTCCAGCCGTTTCACCCAAAGGCTCCTGGGCAATCCATCTGTGCCACTGAGGTCCCAAAATTGGACACCAACAGCAACCAACAAGCAGAACATTTCGATAGAACTGACCAAGTTGAGTGGAACTTCGGCAACATTCACCAACAAATGACATTGCCGGGCCTCATTGATCCATTGGTTGCCACATCTCAATCTTGAGCTGACTACTCTGGATTGATACCATTGCAGTTGAGGGGGTCTACACAGTCTACAGACATCGACATCCGGCGCACCACATGGCTTAAAGGATCTGTGGGGTTTCTTGAAGTTTGGATCCCCAAAACCATGAGTTTCAGCCAATCGAAATCTGGTCTGGCGAGTCGGAATAATGCGACAAACCCAACCGTGCCATGAACCAACCGTTTGGGAATCATGTTACCTCATCCCAAACAAGACTAGGTCATACCCAATACTAAATCCCAACCCCGGATGTGTTCATATTGATTTCCACTGTATATAATTTCTTCATCCTATTCCATAATTATGTATATATAGTATATAATAGTATATTATATATATATGTATATATATATAGTTATTTATGTTATATTATATATATCATATTATATTATACATATATATATCATGTGTATATAATTATCCCATACAGTGCTCCACTGCTCCACACTATCCCATACCTCTTCTTTTTATTCGATTTACCGACAAAAAGGTTGTCCTACCTGCATCACGGTGGCCGACGGCAGCGTCGAGACGGGAAGCAAACGGCACGTTGGAGGTGCACGGAAATTGCACGGAATAATGAATATTTCCCCACAGTAAATGTGGATGTATCAAAACCAATCTTGCTATATTTGGGGGGATGAACATCCATTTAACAGTTATTTGGGGTTCACTAGGGTACCAAGGTTTTGACTCATACCCAAATGTATGTAAAGGTATAAAGTAGCATAGTCATGTTCAATGGTAATGGTCAAAAGATGTCAAAGGTATACCGTTTTTGACTTTCTCAGAACGGATAGACAGTTTCTTTTAGTGATAAACTGATTTTGAGTTGGATCTCAGTGCATTTCACTGTTATCTGTGTGGATTGCTGCTCATTGATCACAACCTGAAACTGGTAAGAACAGGAGGGAGGTCTGGATACTTTGTGGATGGGTGAGTTGACTGAAAAGAATGAAAGAAATCAGAAAGTCGACTGAGAACATGATCCCTCATGAATCAAACATGCAAAAAGAATCACAGGCAGACTTGAGCCAAGAAAAGGGAGAGGATGAAAGAACTGATGAACACTGATGATGTTTTCGAGATCACCTACAAGAATGGGCATTTGCTGCCCATCCGGTGAAATGTTGTAGAGAACCTAGCAACAAATCTGTAACCAGCTGTCGGAAAATCAGCACATCTCTCTGGCTCCACAAAGGGTCCTACCCCATTTATATATAGTACGTCAGAAGAGTATGTGTACATGATATATGATTATATGTGACTATATGTAATATATAAATAATATACATGATATCATATATGTGTACATGATATTATATATTATTATATAATAAACATACATTATATATGATTATATGTGTATGAGCAATCTCTTAAACTACAGGTTCATGAAAAGGACACCAACAAATTTGGGAAGGCCCTATCACTTACCAGACGTTTTTACAGAAATGATGTATTGGCAAATTTAGGGAGTATCGCTTAAAAGAAATTGATGTATGTGCACAGGTATGACATAACCTGTTATCTGGGAAGGTCCGATCGCTCGCATCATGCTTGCACAATGTCTGAAACCATCCCCTGCATGTTTCCTATTGCCGGAGTTTTTGCGGTAGCTCATATATTATGTATTTTTATATATCACGTCTGTATGACTATGCAGATATATATATATACATACATGTATAATGCATACATGTATGTAAGTGTGTATATATATGTGTGTATAGATAAGTATGTATACATATGTGTATATATATATATATTATACAATTATATACATATGTATATATATACATATATATATATATACATATACATATATATATATACACATATATGTATACATATATACACACATATACAACTTAAACATGCATACGTAGACACATGTGTATATAGATAGATATGTGTGTATGTGTACAGTATAAATATATACGGGTGACGTATATATGGGTGTATGTGTATACATATTATGTCCATAAACGAGAGGTACTCAAAGTCCATTGGTTTCCCCGACCAGATTAAAACAATTTCTTTAAACATCAATCTCCGCTCTTCTCAAGAAGTATAACTCTATGACAGGGCACCAATGTGCAGTAAGTGTGAGGGAATAATTGACCATTCAAAATTGCTAGTTTGGGCGAAATTGGGTGGTGCCACTCCATCCAAATCATCCTTCAATCACCACCGAAACGGCAGGGCAGCAACTTTTTGGACGGTCCAAAAATTATAAGCGTCTGATGTGCCGAATACTACTTACGCACGTGCTAATTTGCAGTCCGCAAATAAACCGCTCCGCTCGAGCGGACACGAGGGTGGTCCGACTGGTCCGACTTGCCACTTTGCAACAAATGGCAGGTCGGGTTTGTCGGGGTGCCGAGAACTGGTGTCGCTGGCCAAATTGATATCTTGCTGGGTCGGTGTATGTTGAACCGTTGCATCTGATTATTGACAGATTTCTGGCCATGGAACAGGGGGTGCTTGTACATGTAAGAGAGGCTTGCTGCAAATGTGTCCCAACAATCAGGGGCCCCGGGCTGAACAGGTTCCTTTTTCTGCAAATAGTTGACCAGTTTGAGGGAGTCCGGGATCAAGAATCTAGAAATATTATGAAATATCTAGAATATCTTGGGGATCCATCCTGTCTTCTTGAATGCCATGTTTCGGTTACGCTTCGGTGAGACGAAATCGCAAGCCTTTGTGCGAGCTCTCACTGGGACAGACCTGCAGAACCCATGCCCCAGGCTCTTGGGGCCGAGGATCGTCCTTGTTTGGGGATCTTGGTATTGTCGTTTTGTTTCACTGGCTATCATGTGGTAAACCTCGAAAAGAAATCATACTGGACCATACCCTTTCCTGTTCGAGGCTATTCAAACCCAGGCGCCAAAAAGAATGGTTTCAATTGGGTTCCCAAAGCTTGGCTGGATGAGAAGTCCCAGTGTTGAATCGGCGGAAAAAACCGTACCATCTGCAGTTTCCGTATAGAATTTGCCAACACCTCTGGGGTCACTAATTACCCAAGAAAGGGACTACCTAAATGGACTGGTGAAGTGTAGTTCATTGCTTGAGTGTTAAGCTATTTATATCATGTTCTCCATTTTGATGCGGGAAGATGTCAAAAGCCGCTGAATATCTATCCGTGGTTTTCCTAGAGCATTGAAGCTTAGATGGTGGCTGTGGCCTAGTTCAGTTTTGAGGGTTTTGCAAAAAAAAACTAATATTGGTCATATATAGCTGGCTAGTTAGCATATATAACAGTGTAAAGAATTTCCATATATATATATATATATTCACAATGATATGTATATATACACATACCATCCATATGTAGATTTATATATATCATTATATATAATTATATATATACAGTACTGCATATAATATCCCAATTTATAGCAAAAGATTGAACTACTTCCAGGCCCAGCTGTTGGCTTTTCCAGCCACCACACTGGCGAGCTCGGCGGTCCCCACGTCCAGTCTGTACGCTTCCTAAAGGCTGCGAATCCCAGGCTTCGCTGGCTTCACGCGACCTGAAGGATTAAACTACCCATCCAAGGTTGGGGACAACCATGGGATGATACTTGGGATATTTGGGATACTTGGGAAAATAAAATTGGGAGAATAATTGGGATATACCCTTCCGGTGTCATCAAACGTCTAGCCACAAATGGCCCATACCATCCCGTACCTATAGGTTTCTGACACAGGGAATGGAATGATAATTCGAAACTGGAAGCTTCAAAGCAATCATGGAGGAAATGGGAAGGTACATGAAGATACAGTATTCAACTTGGGGTGAATGAGGAGTCGTACAACGCATGGAAGTTTCATGCAAATCCGTACTCAATGAAGGACAAGATGGGGGAGCTTGAACAACCACTTGGGTCAACTTCCAAAGCAAATGTAGAGGACGGAGAAGCAACGAATCTGGGAACGTCATGACATGTGACCAGTCATAAGATGTCTACCTGTCGCACCAAACATAGGAATACGCTTCGTCGAATCCTGGAACGTTTGCACATCCCGAGAATCTCTCCAGAGATGTTGAGATGTCAATAAGTAGCCGATGTGTACCCTCTGGTAATTTGTTACATAGCTATTGAAAATGACCATTTATAGTGGATTTTCCCATTAAAAATGGTGATTTTCCATAGCTATGTTAGTTTACCAGAGGGTAGGTTTTTTTGCGTACCAAAATGGCCGTTTACCACGTGGGTCTCGCCAAAATTTGGAGGCCAGATCAATCAGCAGTTTCTCCTACTGGAACAAACCCGATTTCAGGGTTCCCAAAGTCTTTGATGCACTCATAAGCGGCATCATAGCTCACTCGAGCTGTTCCTGGGCCATCTGCACATCTTTTGGGGATCTGCCTGATCTCTTTTCATATCTTTTCCATGAGTGCAAACTGGCACTTAGGCCCCCTACGTTTCAGGGGGTTGCGGACCCTCACCGTGTGAAAGTACCCCAGCATGGCAAAGCTGAACCAACACCAACTCGGTGGATTTTCGCCATCAGAATGCTTCCCCAAACTGGTGACCCCGGCTGGCTAAAGGTCAAAATTCAGTACAGCAGCCAGCATATATGGCAATAATTGAACTGTAAGATATTTGGTATTGCTAGTACTATAGATATACTCTCAAAATCTGCAGTTTGCTGGGTTTAAAATTTTGATCCGTGCCCCATCTATATCTGATGAAACCCCAACGCTTCAGGGCCCACGGGTCCAGAATTTGGCTCCCACACATCTTAGGCTTGGGAGAGGCCGGGTAAGGCCTCTCACGCAGCGACAGAAGTCGGACTTCCAAGCAGCAAAAAACGGATGTGAAACCATCCAGAAATATGGATACCAAAGCAGGCTAGCTGGGAAAATAGGCATTAACTTGCATGAGAAAATAATCCAAGAATTTGGGTATTTTCCAGTGGCATGTTTGAATACCAGAGAGTATCACAGATAAATGGAGGATGTTTGGGGGCAAAATTGCTTTGGTTCAAGCCAAGTCAATTGAGATCGTCATAGATCGTCATTCCATTCTTGTGCCATGGAAACAAAACAGTAAAGTGAGATATGTTAATTTGAGGGGAAGGGATTATGCCTCATGACTCATGACATTCATGCCTCATTTATGTGGGGTCATCCGTGGTGTCAAACGTTTACATCCCATCATCGCCCCGTGTCTCAGCCCCGTCCTGTTTTGCTTCAGCAGAATTTGCCATAGCATAGATACCTGAGCAAAAAAAACAACCGGACCTGCGGTATGGCATGCCCCAAATCAAACCACCGATGAATTCGTGCAGGCAAATGGTTTCAAATAAAATGTGTTTTGAAATATTCACAGTTCAAAATCAAAATCTAGGATGTCCTGCTCCTAAAACAAAACATGTTGATGGATGTCTGGGGTCCGTTGGTGGAACCCGCTGAATGTCTGAGAAATTGTAGAGCTGCAGCCAAAGTCAACGGACAGGCTTGGAGCAACTGAACTTGAAAACAAGGAGCGGCCACCAGCAGGCTTGGATGTGGTTTCAACAGGGCCCCGACAACATACGAAAAGATTATAATTAATTTGTTTCCCAAAATGCTGGAGCAACGAACGGCAAAATAAAGCATCTTCTTCAAGAAATCCAGGCATCTTAGGGAAATTCTCTGGATTCCCGGTCTTCATGATGTAATGGCCCACCTCTATTCTTAAGAATCCCCGGTGTTTTCGCAAGCGCCATCTTGCCGAGATGCGTTTGACGTGATCCGAGAAGGTGTCTGGGTTGCCCAGACGCACGTAGATTGACCTGGTCAAAACATTTGAGGCGAGGTCAAACCCTGCCACATTGACATCCTAAACGAGAAGTGCCTGAATGTACATGGCGCGCGGGAATTCAGGTTGTTCCTGTTCCCAAGTGTCTGGCGTAGACTTGCATTCACTGTTTCCCACCAGGTTCTTGATGCAATCTGAGGTATCTACACCACCGTTTGGCAATTTGGATGTGTCCCAAAAGTTTCAAACGTCTCCCCCAGGTTGGCTTCCCCACTTCCCATCATTCTCAGTGTCCAGGACAAAGGTTTCGTTGAGAGGCTCTTGGTTGAAGAGCTCGATAAGCTTGGTACACTGCGCCAGGGGGAACGCTTGGTATACACCCAATGTTGCTGATCCGTGTCCCATGAATCACTCCATCACCAGAATGAGGGGTCCCAATCATTAGCAAAAACCTTGAACGGCCGCTGCAGGTATCTCTGATCACAGCAATTGGAGTTGTTTCCTGTATTGTAACCCCTAAACGAAACTGATTTACCACTGTATCTGTATGTGTTTACCTTTAATTCTAGCCATAAATGGGGTTTCTTTGTGTTAAGTTTTCCCAACCATTTCCCAACAAAGAAAAAACCGGAGCCTGAAACGCCATCTCTGAGAGCTTCCTTTGGAACTCGTGTTTGATCATTTGCTTCATCCTCGGCTCAGCCGCACCAAGCTTTGTGCGTGGTTTCCTTCAATGACGACGGGATTCGTGGCGTTTTTGTGGTCAGAATCTCAAGAAAAAATCGCCCAAAATGGCGCAGAAATCTCTTCGCAGATCGGAAAACCATTTGGAAATTTGGATTTCTGTTCAGGAAAAAAACACGTACCAACATGCGAGGGTACTGCTGAAAAGGTTGAGTTCACATCGAGGGTTCATATATTCAGCCCACCTTACCCCAACCCCACAAACAAAATGTTCAGTGCGTTGCTTGTGATCATCCCCTATTGAATGGTATACCCTCTGAAATTTCACCCATCAACCATCAACATCCATCAACCAACCATTTATCAATCAACTATGTGCCCAAACTTTGATCTTGAAAAGCCTTGTGAATGATCGTGAAATCCTGCTTCTCGATCCCATTGTAATCCCATGCTGCGCACGGTCTCGGGGTGATACCAAACTTGCATAGACGCCTCCTGGGATTTTCATCAGGTAGACCTAATTAGAATTTCTTTGAATTTCTAATTTGGGTTTGTGAAGCCCCTCAACTGTCATCAAACCCCACTGGGCCGGCTCGGTGTCTGTAGTATCGTGTTTGATACCACTTCCGCCAATTGGAAGCACGGGCTGCAGGCAGGAGAGCATCTACAGGGTGTATTATCCGTGAGACACACGGCAATGAAAGATCCAAAGCAAAGTTTAAGTTAAGGTTGGATTCACCGGCTTCTTGCATGGTTGCTTTAGAAAATAATCGTTCAGGATCTTTCGAACTTCGGATGCGTTTGGGAGTATGGCGCGGAAAGTGACACCTCTGTTAGGGGAATTGACAGCATAGCTTCGGTGAAGCCTCGTTTTCTTTGTGTGAATGCCAGGGATGAGTCGTTCACCTGTGATTGATTCCAATTGCTGTATTGCGGACGCAAACGATTTGACCTCTGCCCCAAGGGTTGAGTGTCTGCCCCATTAAAATGTATTAAAATCCCATTAATCCCCATTGCAACCCATTTTTCTGGGTTGTCCTCATTTTCCCATAGTTTCCCCATGGTTTCAACAGGGCTTTGGACTCGCCATGTCTTCCCGAGGGCTGGGCCGGCAGAGCCGAATGCCCGAGGGGTGGTGCAATAGCATGCCTCGGGTGTCGCAAGGATACCACCTGGTGTGGCGGCACCAAGGATAAAGATAGGTGACAGACAGTGTATAATTTATAGTACATAATATTATACTATATATATATATGTGTGTGTGTGTGTTGCAGATGTATACAGAATGTTCACTAATTACTCATATACATAGTGTTTACTTGGCCGTGATTTTCAGCAGATCGACAGCCACATCTGACAGAACTATCTTGAAATTTTCCCTGTCCACTGTGGTTCACTTTCCACCAATTAACCGCGATCGTCTTTGTGCATAGAAGACGTTCCGCCATGTTTCGCCTATAATTGGTGGTTGGCCCGCCCATCCCAACATCTTCGTCAAATGAATTCAATGGTCCCGTCTACAGGGACTACAAGTTTTTCACAAATGTTGAAACGACCAGCCATATCCCAAAATTTCATGGTGCCCATGGTTGCATCCCATTTAAATCCGCATTTCTGTTGGTAAAATTTCATGTTTGTCGCTGTTTAAACCCCCATCTTCTCTGGTAAAACCATGGTGTTTTTTACCCCTGATCCCATCGAGCGAAGATGGGTCACGGAAAAGAACCATCGTCAAGTCATCCATATCTTTGATCTCTTCACCCTGGACGGGTGCAACGGTGCCACGAGGAAAACGCGAAAAACCAACGAAAAAAAGGTGAAGTGAACATGGGTCAACCACCAAGTTCTCCAATCTTGCGTCCGTTAGGAAAGGGTCCCAAGGACCGATTTGCTAGCAGTGATTCATGAACGGTTCTTTTGGGGGGACTCTTTTTACTTAACAACCAACCTCTCAACTGGTGGGAAAAGGAATTGCTCTGCTTAAATTTTTGGAGTATGGTTGAACAGTTGGAACAAAAAGGAACAAATGGGGTGGTTGGATCAAAAAGTGGACCAACATTTGTCAGTCGGGTCTTGAATTTCGACCCATGTCCTTATCGTGAGAGATTCGAGGGTAGCTGTAGGTACGTGACACATCTAAGGATTTGAATGTGCGCGTATATAGCATTTTTACTTGCCCCTAAAGCATTATAAAACCATATTATGTGGTAAACCCAATGATGAATCATCCCCTTAACCAACCATTTGGGGTCATTTTTTACCATCCCAAATAGGGGTATACCCAATAGTAAACCTCTGTTGGGGATAGTTTATCTTTGGGTTTACCGCATTAAAACAAGTTTGAAAACCATTTACTGGTTGGTGGTTTCAACCCCTCTGAAAAATATTAGTCAGTTGGGATTATTATTCCCAATATTATATATGGAAAAATAAAAAATGTTCCAAATCACCAACCAGATTTATCATGATAATCCCAAGTAACCATCAACACTCTGGCGACAAGCGCTAAGGGAGAAACGTGATGATGAACCGTGTCCGGGTCATGACAGAATCATCACCCAGAATGGTACATCCCATCCCCCGGGAAAAATAAGCACCCTCCATAAACCATGTGGTTTAGTAGCGGATCAAAAAAATAAGACCATACGACGGGGTGTTTGATATGAACGGGGGATGAAAGTGAATCCAGTGGCAAACCCAAGAGGAAACCCTCTTGGACCATGTGGATACGAAACCAGCAATGTTTTCAGGAGAAACAGGAGAGCAAGCCACTGGCTCAGTGGACAGTTGGACATGTGGCAAAGACAATAACAAATCGTTTTTTTGTGGCTTTTGCAAGCCTGAAAATACTGGCGTTCAAGCGTTAGTCATTGGGTTTATAAGAGTAATCGTTTCACTGCTTTGGGGAATGGTTCAAGTATGGGTGCGTGTTCTTGACTATTGCTTGGTTTCTTCCCTTCATGTATATATATATATACCCTGTTGCTTGGACATGTATCCCCAAACTCCATCCTCGAGCTTGGATGCTATCACAATATAGGAATACCACAGATTATCTTCACAGATTGTCCATAAAAATATCTGGGTCTGGAAAAATCGACCCCAAGTAGCCCAATATTTGCTGGCCCCATCTCAGACCCGATCCATCCCCTTTCCGGTATCACTCTGATCACTTTCCGGTACGAAGATGGTCATTTCGCAGGTATCCCATGGTTGTACCATGGTTATACCATGGTTATACCATGGTTATACCATGGTTATACCATGGTCCACCCCAGTTTCAGACAGATCCTTAGGGAAGTGAAGATCCAGCAGCTTCGTTGAGATCCCACCCCTCGGAGCCTCTGTTGCATCAATCACTCCTGGGAGACGGCCGCTTTTGAAGGCTGGAAAAACCAACGAAAAATTGGAGTATCATATCACCAGATAAATGATTATCATAGTTAATGGATTATAAATGGAAATCCCATTTATAAATGGAGTATAATTGGAAATCCCATTTATAAATGGATTATAATCCCATTAACTATAGATATATCATATCACCAATAAACCAGTGAAAAATGGTGATGTTACCGATATGACCATCAGCAATGGGGACGTCACCAAGAGAGCATCGGGAGATCATTGAAACAAGACATGGGGGTATGACAAACAAGTAATGGCTATTTAAAAACGATAGATGTAGCCGTCGACTTCTGGGGATATACAGCAACAAATGGGGATGGGTCAAAACCCTGTACCCCTGGTGAACATCAAAATAGCTGGTAAATGGATGTTCATCCCACTAAAAATGGTATCTATAGGTATTGACCCATACCCAAATAAACATTACTAGAAACTAGACATAGCCAGCAGAATCTGTGGATGAAACCCACGCAATCTGGCAAATGCACCATGAATTTCGAACCTTTCTCAAGGATTCGCATGGCTAACTCCAGTTGGAGCGTTCCAGCCGTCTTGACAGGAAAAAGTAATAATGGTGAACCTTTTTTGTTGCTAATACAGCCCCACCAGTGTTGGTAAGATTGCCACTGTTGCTTCTTAGATCCCCACTGGACGGTCATTTAAATCCACATCCATTGAGCCCCCGGGCCGCCAGTTCCATCAGGTGACAACTGGCACAGGACGGTTTGGATCGGCCTCAGCGGTTGAATCATGGACCAATTTCCAAACTGAAAATCACCGGAACACCCCAAAAAAAGCCATATCCCAGGATTGATCATCAATGTTTCCATTGAAATTGCAAGTTTAAGGTATCCATCCCCCATCAAATGGATAAACCCACAGAAATTGCTAGCTTGCACCTGGCTTCTCAGAGGAACAAAAAAGGCAAAGAGAAGCAGAAGAAGAAGAAGAAGCATTTGATCTGATACGTGACACTTGATAAGTTCATGAACTTTGGCTAGAAAACGCGGGCCATGATGAAGCTCAGAAATCGATCATGTGAAAAACTAGAAGTGTATGATATCATCTGAGTCCTCGCATATCCTAGACACAACTGCCAATGATCTACTATCGGACACCATATATATATATACATATATACATATATATATTAATGCATACAATTACAATTACAATTACAATTGCAATTACATGTGCATAATTGAAATTTAAATATGTATGTAAATATGTAAATATGTAAATATTATGACAATTTAACAATATATGCAAATATATACAGTATGTATATATATATATGCATAGTTACAATCTCACATGCATACATATAGATTTCTAGAATCTGGTTCCCAGTTCTGATCACAGATCCGTCCACGGCGTGGCCGGGCGACTTCAACATCTTGCGATGGTACACAATCAGCCTGCGAACGAAGAGGCGGCGAGGCGGCCACGGGAAGACATGGTAAATCTGTTTGCATAAATATAATATGTGTATTATAATGATTGTATAGTAAGACCCAAAAAAATGATTTTGTAGAAATGGTAATATACAATCCGTTCCCTGATACAAATGTGGCGTTTCCTCGCCATGTTCCGCCTGCGGTGTTGGATGGCGAGTTGCACAATGTGGCCTCGCGGCGATTAACGACGGGCCCCCTTAACCATGGGGCTCGTTTGATGGGGATTTCAGCACCAAAACCATGGGGAAAGTTGATATACAGAAGGTGGTTTGTAATCACTGAACTGGGTCAGGGATTATGATACCCCATGGGAGATCCATGTGCCAGTATTATGAGATGGGATTGTTGCTTTTTTTTCATGGCTCAAAAGGGGGAGTAGGCGTTCAATCCGCGACTGTTTTTGGTTTTCAATCCTTGCCTTTTTTAAAATTGCTTATTTTCTAGTCATGGATAGTTCGACACCTGTAGGTTAGAAAGTAGCCTTGCAACCCCAACGTGAGTTGGCAGGGTGTGTGTCAGTTGGTGATGGTAGCCCAGCAAGAAATGACGACATGTGGGCATTACTGTGGGGATGGGATTGTGGTAAATCCAAGGGTCCAAACCTCACTATTAATGGGAAATCATTGGGATTATATTGGGATTATATTGGGATTGCCCATGAAAATCCACTAATGGAACATTAATGGAACAACCGAAAACCACAACTATGTCTGGTTCTGCAAACGGTCTAGCCATGTCTAGATATGTCTAGTGTCAACGTAGCAATGGAAAATCTGTCCCCGCACTAAATCGAGAGATCTGAGACTTGGACAGACTTCACCCAGCCTGGCCGCAACGGGACCACCCGAAAATTCAAGACCTGATGGGATGGGAAATGACGAAATAACTTAACCCATGCACATATATGCACATATGAAACATTATGAAACCATGAAGATTTGCTAGGAATGATAATTTATGAAACAAGAATGAAAAAACACCAACTAGATGAGGGTGGTTCAGATAGAAGTCTAGACGCAGCAAAGAGGACAAGCGCTGAAAAGGCGTCCGTTTGGGTTGATCTCACCAAAACATGTGGAGAAATCTTTCACTGGTACAAATGATGTTTTTCACTGGTACAAATGATGTTCAAGGATTCGAGCATTGGAGTGGGGACTCTAAACAAACATGTTGATCAAGTGTGGATAGTTTAGGGCTAACGCAGTGGTTTCGATGCCAAGATATCATCAGTTTTCCTGGTCGGGGGGTATACCCTGTTTTCAGACACACGGGGTCTGGCATACTCCAGGGGTCGTGGTGTGATGCATCCTTCACGGGTCATTCCAGGCATCAGTACAGTAACTCTTGGGCTCTGACGAATAAGGAGCCAGAAAGGCAAGATTGCGCCTTGGAAGCGGCACTGCACCAGGCGTCTCGGGAACTAGATGCCTACTCGCTTTCTGAGCCCTTTGCTGGGGCCAGAGGCTCAGTTCAACCGCCATCTTTGGAGGATTTGGGGGATGAAACATCGTGAAACATCATCATGAAACCATCTCAATGAAACAGATCATCTTGGAATACGAATATTCAACGAATCTCGGGGCGGTCCGTTTCTTCACTAGACCCAAATTCATACGTTTTGTCTTGGACACTCTACTGTATTTTTAACGCCCCTGAATGGTTGTTGAATCGAATTCTTGTAGGCTACACTACACGACCCACCATTAAAAATCAATAAGGATTTGCTGGCGACAATGGGATTTTACGAACAAAAAATTGTGGATCTGACCATATCTGACCCACTAAACAGGTGAATATGTCTGACGGAGTCATGTGACAAACACGCACAATTGTGCCTGTGTCGTTTCCCAAAAAAGGGGAATCCTAACATGCCATATTATGCCAAAATGTTTAATGAAAAATGATTTTGTAAACCATGTGACGGAATGAACATACTCAAAAGAAGCTCTCCGCTATTGATCATGTTTATTTATTCCCATTTTGGTCGGTGCAATGACCATTTTCAGTCAAGTCATGTCATATCCCCATGTTTGTTGATAGAACCCCAGCCCATTTCGGGGTAACCCCAGCCATGCCAACTCTGAGGGACTGCATCAGCTCGCGCGCCATGCCGTAGCGACCTCTCACGTCCATGGTTCAGCTCCAGTTACGATCTGCTAATGAGTTTTCTATGGACAATCAGCATTCCAATAGGTAATTCATCGAACTAAATATGGCCATCTTCCAGTTTGCAAACTGTTAAATTACCAGAGGGTAAGTATTCTCCAGGGATAAAAGATATTCCCAAAATGGTCCCAAACATGGGTCAACATTACCCCAGAAATGGGACGGATAGTACATGACCTTTGTGAAGTGGAGGCTTTGTCATCCTGCTTCATGAACACACTCAACCAAACCCACGACACGATGTCTGTTTGATGTGTTGTGGGGGGACAAACAGCGCTTCAAGGGGAGGAAGCAAACAAAGGCCAAGAACTGCCATTCAATGGACCAGCTACAGGATCTTGAAGGGACTATATAACTACATAGTTCCAGGAAAGATTTGATTTCCACACCCTGTCCTAAATAGTTGCCCAATTGGTTTCCAGTAATTATCTATGGTAACTGGTAATCAACAGAATTTGTCCCGTCCCCCTAATATCAAACACCCTCATTCTATCGTCCCAAAGATGTGGTTTTACCATGGTTTACGGGGGACAAAAATGTGGAAAAAGGGTCAAATCGCATCCATGGGTCCAAATACCACCTAATTCTGAAACTCAGCCTGAATGGATGTGTTTCTTGACCAGCCTGAAACTTTGAAAGGATGGTTTATATATATATATATGTGTGTGTTTATATGGGGTATCAGCCCAAAAATGGCCAACATCTCCAGTGTAGGAATTCAACCCTCAGTATCTCATTTTGGAAACTCTGGGATCTATCGCACCACTACAACTATCGGCGTCTCGCCTCCTGCGAAGGTATGTTCACCATCCAGGAACTTCGCCAGCTCCTTCCACATCGACCTGTGGCGTTTGGGGCCCGCAGGGCGTCCCAATTTCAACATATGTGACATGTGGGGCTAAAACCTACAATGGGCCTACCCTTTATCGCTGGATGGTTTATAATGAAAAAAATCCATGAAAATGGATGATTTAGGGGTAATCCTATTGTAGGAAAGCTCCATTTTTTCCACCGTCTTAGATCGTGAAACCTCTTAGGTGCCAGGATGGCAACATCGCGACATCAACCATCTTGGGGAGATGCAAACGAAAACCCCGTCATGTTTGGTAATTCAACCAGCAAAGTGGCAAAAATTGAAGGTTAACACACTAGCCATGGTGGTCGCAATCTGGAAACATGTCCCAGTTGGATGATGATCATCAACCAACGGAACCGGGCTGGAACATGGCCACGCAAGAAAAGCCATGATTCAGCGCCATGGAGGTGGCTTCATCAGTGCCACTTGAAGGGGGCCATGTGTGGCGGTTGTAGTGAAGATGTATATCATATATATATATATACTATATACATAATCAAGTAATATCAAGCATCAGAAACGTCATGTCAAAGAGAAAAGACATGAATACGCAACTGGCTGGAGATTGTTGGCCGTTCCGAAAAGTGACTCCGATTTCCACGAGCTGCAGCTGTTAACTTTGAGGCGCCAGCTCATCATAAGGGTCATCTGGAGAGTCAATGTCAATCCAACCTGACCCGTCGAGGACATACAAAGGACATACTATCAGCACTGGCATTTAAAAGACCACATGCCATGATGAGTGAATACAGCAGTACACAAACACTGTATGTATGTATATATATATATACATATATACATATTTGTTATTATTATATATCATGATCACTACTATGTTTATCATTATTATCATTATCATCATTATTGTTGTTGTTACTATTGTTTTATTGTATTTTGTATATCTGCATTATTATTATTACTATTATTATTATTAGTATTATTGTTACTATTATTATATATATATTACGTTATATGTAGATATGATTATACAAAATATATCATTATATCTATATGTATGCATCATTTTATTGTATATACTAATTGTGTATCTGTATATATATATATACTGCACATTGTTTTATATTAATGATACCGGGTTCTTCAAAAAAAACAGCCATCCCATGAAGTACCACACCACAGAGGTCATGCACCCCCCGTCCCCCAATTCAATGTTGTCTTCTGAAGTTTGTGTTTGGCGGCCTTCAAAAAAAACAGCCATTTCTGTTGATGATGCTCGGCGCTTCCGATCACAACATTGAAGTTGGGGGTTGCGGGGGTAAGCAGGGTATCTCTGTGGTTTCCTGTGGATGGCTGTTTTTTTTGAAGAACCCGGTGAGGCTTTTTTTTGTTCCGAGTTCAGTTTAACTGTTGTTGATATGCATGTGGATGTAGATCAGCACACATACACACACACACATCGATGCGACAACATCAGCTTCTGAAATTTACGCATTGTCAAAGCATGCGCTTCTGTAATCTGTGACAGCCAATAAAGGTGGATGCTAAGGGCTAACCATCAGCTTGTGAAAGTTGCCCAAGATGGTTGCCAAAGCTTATTCTATATAATATGCGACAACCCCACAAAGGTGGATGCTACGGGCCACCACCACAATGTAATATCCAAGGCGCTCAGCTTCCAAAGTCTCGCCCCTGCCACCTGCAACTCTTGCACCTGCCACGCTGTTTTCTACTTCCCCACTTCACGGGTGTGATTTGTATGGGCCTGCCAATGCAACGCACATGCAACACACATGCAACACTCATGCAACACACATGCAACACACATGCAACACACATGCAACACACATGCAACACGAGCATTTTCCTTGTCAATTTCCAAGCAAAGTGGCCGCGGGGGCAAAAATCTACACTTTCCATTCTAAGACCGGAGTTGGGGCTGCAAACGTCAAATCCTGCACGTTGACTGTAAATTTACAGGTAAAAAGCTCATGTTGCATGTCGTGTTGCATGTCGTGTTGCATGTGTGTTGCATGTGTGTTGCATGTGCGTTGCATGGCAGGTGTGCAGGATAGAGCAGTCACGCTCTCAAAGTGGTGCGCCTGCCACGCAGAACGAAAGCCAGTGCACCCCACGACATTGCGGAATCAGGTCAAAAAGGTGTCAAGACTGTCGCTGCATGTATTTCACTTAGCACAACCCATATTAGCGCGCATATGCGACACCCACACACAAACACCCGCCCAAACTGATCCCGATGCTTTCTCTGACACAGTGTCGTCATCATTCTCGCGTTTGTCTGCAGCCATGGGTCCATCCTATTGTGTCTTTTCTGAGTCGGTGAGGCTTTTTTTTGTTCCGAGTTCAATTTAACTGTTGTTGATATGCATGTGGATGTAGATCAGCACACATACACACACACACATCGATGCGACAACATCAGCTTCTGAAATTTACGCATTGTCAAAGCATGCGCTTCTGTAATCTGTGACAGCACAATAAAGGTGGATGCTAAGGGCTAACCATCAGCTTGTGAAAGTTGCCCAAGATGGTTGTCAAAGCTTATTCTATATAATATGCGACAACCCCACAAAGGTGGATGCTACGGGCCACCACCACAATGTAATATCAAAGGCGCTCAGCTTCCAAAATCTCGCCCTGCCACCTACAACTCTTGCGCCTGCCACGCTGTTTTCTACTTCCCCACTTCACGGGTGTGATTTGTATGGGCCTGCCAATGCAACGCACATGCAACACACATGCAACACTCATGCAACACACATGCAACACACATGCAACACACATGCAACACGAGCATTTTCCCTGTAAATTTCCAAGCAAAGTGGCCGCGGGGGCAAAAATCCACACTTTCCATTATAAGACCGGAGTTGGGGCTGCAAACGTCAAATCCTGCACGTTGACTGTAAATTTACAGGTCAAAAGCTCATGTTGCATGTCGTGTTGCATGTGTGTTGCATGTGTGTTGCATGTGTGTTGCATGTGTTGCATGTGCGTTGCATGGCAGGTGTGCAGGATAGAGCAGTCCCACGCAGAACGACAGCCAGTGCACCCCATGACATTGCGGAATCAGGTCAAAAAGGTGTCAAGACTGTCGCTGCATGTACGACATTGCGGAATCAGGTCAAAAAGGTGTGAAGACTGTCGCCGCATGTATTTCACTTAGCACAACCCATATTAGCACATATGCGCCCGCGCAAGCAAACAGACACACCCACACACAAACACCCGCCCAAACTGATCCCGATGCTTTCCCTGACACAGTGTAGTCATCATTCTCGCGTTTGTCTGCAGCCATGGGTCCATCCTATTGCGTCTTTTCTGAGTCCGGGTTCTTCAAAAAAAACAGCCATCCCATGAAGTACCACACCACAGAGGTCATGCCCCCCCCGTCCCCCAATTCAATGTTGTCTTCTGAAGTTTGTGTTTGGCGGCCTTCAAAAAAAACAGCCATTTCTGTTGATGATGCTCGGCACTTCCGATCACAACATTGAAGTTGGGGGTTGCGGGGGTAAGCAGGGTATCTCTGTGGTTTCCTGTGGATGGCTGTTTTTTTTGAAGAACCCGGTGAGGCTTTTTTTGTTCCGAGTTCAGTTTAACTGTTGTTGATATGCATGTGGATGTAGATCAGCACACATACACACACACATCGATGCGACAACATCAGCTTCTGAAATTTACGCATTGTCAAAGCATGCGCTTCTGTAATCTGTGACAGCCCAATAAAGGTGGATGCTAAGGGCTAACCATCAGCTTGTGAAAGTTGCCCAAGATGGTTGCCAAAGCTTATTCTATATAATATGCGACAACCCCACAAAGGTGGATGCTACGGGCCACCACCACAATGTAATATCCAAGGCGCTCAGCTTCCAAAGTCTCGCCCTGCCACCTACAACTCTTGCGCCTGCCACGCTGTTTTCTACTTCCCCACTTCACGGGTGTGATTTGTATGGGCCTGCCAATGCAACGCACATGCAACACACATGCAACACACATGCAACACACATGCAACACACATGCAACACACATGCAACACACATGCAACACACATGCAACACACATGCAACACGAGCATTTTCCCTGTAAATTTCCAAGCAGAGTGGCCGCGGGGGCAAAAATCTACACTTTCCATTCTAAGACCGGAGTTGGGGCTGCAAACGTCAAATCCTGCACGTTGACTGTAAATTTACAGGTAAAAAGCTCATGTTGCATGTCGTGTTGCATGTGCGTTGCATGGCAGGTGTGCAGGATAGATAGAGCAGTCACGCTCTCAAAGTGGTGCGCCTGCCACGCAGAACGACAGCCAGTGCACCCAACGACATTGCGGAATCAGGTCAAAAAGGTGTCAAGACTGTCGCTGCATGTAATTCACTTAGCACAACCCATATTAGCACATATGCGCCCGCGCAAGCAAACAGACACACCCACACACAAACACCCGCCCAAACTGATCCCGATGCTTTCTCTAACAGAGTGTCGTCATCATTCTCGCGTTTGTCTGCAGCCATGGGTCCATCCGATTGTGTCTTTTCTGAGTCCGGGTTCTTCAAAAAAAACAGCCATCCCATGAAGTACCACACCACAGAGGTCATGCCCCCCCCGTCCCCCAATTCAATGTTGTCTTCTGAATTTTGTGTTTTGGCGGCCTTCAAAAAAAACAGCCATTTCTGTTGATGATGCTCGGCACTTCCGATCACAACATTGAAGTTGGGGGTTGCGGGGGTAAGCAGGGTATCTCTGTGGTTTCCTGTGGATGGCTGTTTTTTTTGAAGAACCCGGTGAGTTTTTTTGGTTCCGAGTTCATTTTAACTGTTGTTAATATGCATGTGGATGTAGATCAGCACACATCCACACACATCGATGCGACAACATCAGCTTCTGAAATTTACGCATTGTCAAAGCATGCACTTCTGTAATCTGTGACAGCCCAAAAAAGGTGGATGCTAAGGGCTAACCATCAGCTTGTGAAATTTACCCAAGATGGTTGTCAAAACTTATTCTGTATAATATGCGACAACCCCACAAAGGTGGATGCTACGGGCCACCACGACAATGTAATATCCAAGGCGCTCAGCTTCCAAAGTCTCGCCCCTGCCACCTACAACTCTTGCGCCTGCCACGCTGTTTTCTACTTCCCCACTTCACGGCTGCCAATGCAACGCACATGCAACACACATGCAACACACATGCAACACACATGCAACACGAGCATTTTCCCTGTAAATTTCCAAGCAAAGTGGCCGCGGGGGCAAAAATCTACACTTTCCATTCTAAGACCGGAGTTAGGGCTGCAAACGTCAAATCTTGCACGTTGACTGTAAATTTACAGGTAAAAAGCTCATGTTGCATGTCGTGTTGCATGTGTGTTGCATGTGTGTTGCATGTGTGTTGCATGTGCGTTGCATGGCAGGTGTGCAGGATAGAGCAGTCACGCTCTCAAAGTGGTGCGCCTGCCACGCAGAACGACAGCCAGTGCACCCCACGACATTGCGGAATCAGGTCAAAAAGGTGTCAAGACTGTCGCTGCATGTATTTCACTTAGCACAACCCATATTAGCGCATATGCGACACCCACACACAAACACCCGCCCAAACTGATCCCGATGCTTTCTCTGACACAGTGTCGTCATCATTCTCGCGTTTGTCTGCAGCCATGGGTCCATCCTACTGTGTCTTTTCTGAGTCCGGGTTCTTAAAA